CACCACCACCACCACCACCACCACCACCACCACCACCACCACCACCACCACCACCATCAATTTGCACACAACCCCTAGTCGATGCATTTCTAGTACCGTAGATCCGCCCCCACGCCATGTCGCTTCCCAGCTGGGTTTTCGGCAGGGGGCGGGAATTAGATCAAGGCTGTCAAGTGCAGTACGATGTACAACAACGTAGAAGTTCAGACTCGATGTGCTGGATTGTGCACATTTTCATCCTGGATTGGCAAGTATTGTGTACAGCAGTGCATGCATCGGTTCAACATCGTATTTTCGTTGTATACGCCAAAGTCGCTTCACAGGTAGAAAATCGACAGGGGGCGGGAATTAGAGAGGGGGTGGATCAACGGTACTTTACGGTAGTATCTGACAGAGCAGGCTAGTAGTGCATCAGGTAGCGCTTGAAGGTGCTGGACTGGTCAGTTGATCTTCTTGGATGTCTTCAGACGGAGCTTGACTCAGAAGAATATTTGAGGATCAGGTGATCTTTCCCTTGTTATCAGAGTTTCATGCTAGTCCAGTACAGTTGTATAAGACATGTGTTCCGGTCTGAATTTTCTTTTCTGAAACCGCTCCGAAGTTCATCTTGTGTGCGTTTGTGTCAAATTGATGTGTTGAATGTTGACCAATGATTTAGTGGAATTGGCTGTCGGTATGTCTTGAACTATGCTCACGTCGTTCAAGGCAATACAGTAGTTGGAATAATTTCACATCTTTCCGTATCGTTAAGACACATAATACAGGTATTAAATGGCTATAAATAAGATAAATTGTGCACTCATAACAACAGCAAAAATGAAGAAAGTCAAGTTCCATAACGTTTTCTTGTGACTGTCATCAGTGGAACGCCGTCACATAAAAATGTAATAACTAAAACACACACTTATATACATGTAGCTAATATGGTTTCAGGTAGAAATACAGCAGCTAACAAGTACAAAAAGCGAAGTTTGCACCTTTGCAATGTGTGAATATAGTGTATGTGAGAAAGGTAGTGGCAGATGAATGTGATACTGTGTGAATGAATGTAATGGTGCGTGTGTATTACTTGAAGAGTGTGAGTGATACAACGTTTTCTTTCTGTTTACATAGCACAGGGTCACGAGTACGAATATACACAGCTTCCAACACCTGCAATTGCTTGAAGAAACGTGCGCAACGAATAACACTAAACCAGGAATCGTCAAACACCTTACGACATTCTGGACTGGACTGTTGTCCCAGGCTGCCAGATTAACCCTTTGCCGGTCTAACTCAATGTATGTGAGGGGTGGTCACGCAAATACATGTACACACAACCAGCAATAACTCAAGAACCATGTGATGTAGGTATGGGTAAACCATATATTTTCAAAATCTGTGTGCCTGAACGCGTCCAGAAAATTCAAATATGACTAGGTCCAGGCAAGGATAGGGCCCATGGTAGCCCTTCAAGTTGAGAGAAAATACAATTGCGAATGAAATACTCGAATATCACAGCACGAAGGGCATACCAAGTTCGTGATGGAGCTGAAGTCGTACGATAAACAATCAGGTAAGGGCTACGTCTTTACAAGAAATGTAGGCTCTCTACAATACCGCCATTGAACACCAACACCTCGCCATCGGCGATATGCCAGCAGCAGCAATTCCCATTGCACGATATCGCAGTTTCGGTTTGTTCATCTCAGCGCTGCTCGCGTCAGATTCACTCTCGCTCAGATGAGTACTCAGGCGCGAGCTTACGCATGCCGTGATTCTCACGGCCAGGCGAATCAGCTGATCGCACCTGACGAGTCCTTGTGACAGTCGCTGTCGCCGTGTCGGCAGCAAGAAGGCTTCCTCTCTGTTTGGAGAATTTTGTTTCTTCATTCGTGGACGATATATTTTTTGAACTAGCAGGACTCAACGGAGCTCTTTTTCTCAACAGACTACACTGCAAAACCTCCCGGGACATCCAGCCTGGACTGGTGATGTTACTGCTCTCAGAGCGCTTGTCAAACACGGCCCCAAGAGATGTACTCGCATTCTTGAAATGCGCGCATGGCGGATGGTCGTCTTTTCCAATTTCAACAAACTTCAGTCGATCGATACGGCAAAAATTTGTATGGTAAGCATGGTTGTTTTGCACATCGTCAGAAAGCCTTGGACCTCAGCTACGCGTAGAGCGCCATTTTAGCTGTCTCCTAGCAACAAGACCCTAAAAAAATGAGGACCAAACGTACCGATACTATAGTATCGGTACGCTTATGGTAGACCGGTAAAGGGTTAAGCAGGCCGAAGCGTGGGAGACCACGAAAACATCCGCTGCCTATTTCTACACCTAGCACGGCTCACAATTCGGAAACAGAAACACCGACTACTTCCATGGAGAACGAGCAGACTAATCTGGTTCCCCCCTCGGAAACCGGACCACGGCAAGGGAGGCCGCCGGACGGTCGCTCCTCGACAAACCAAGTTGCTACAACGGTAAGAGCGGAAGGGGAACAACTTGAAAACAGAGCAGAACCGAGGAGACGCAAGAGACTGGCAGAGGCACGACTGAGACAAGTGGAGAACACAAGGCAAGGAGACGCAGGAGGAAGCACAGGCACGGCACAGAACGAATCAAGGAGAGGGAAGCGGTGTCGCGAGGAGATGGAGACTGATGACGACGAATACGAGTGCGATGGGATGGACGGCGGCATTGGAATGGAGGTGGAGGATGAGAGTAGTGATGAGGAGGAGTTTGATGTTGACAAGAGGAAGTCTGCAGTGTACAAGCATTTGGTGTCCAGTCCAGAATGTCGTAAGGTGTTTGACGATTCCTGGTTTAGTGTTATTCGTTGCGCACGTTTCTTCAAGCAATTGCAGATGTTGGAAGCTGTGTATATTCGTACTCGTGACCCTGTGCTATGTAAACAGAAAGAAAACGTTGTATCACTCACACTCTTCAAGTAATACACACGCACCATTACATTCATTCACACAGTATCACATTCATCTGCCACTACCTTTCTCACATACACTATATTCACACATTGCAAAGGTGCAAACTTCGCTTTTTGTACTTGTTAGCTGCTGTATTTCTACCTGAAACCATATTAGCTACATGTATATAAGTGTGTGTTTTAGTTATTACATTTTTATGTGACGGCGTTCCACTGATGACAGTCACAAGAAAACGTTATGGAACTTGACTTTCTTCATTTTTGCTGTTGTTATGAGTGCACAATTTATCTTATTTATTGCCATTTTACGACTATTGTCTCCTCGTCGATTGTTTAAATACAGGTATTACATGTGCATTTGTTATATCTTCGACTTATGTAATTTTCTTGGGGGTGTTAGACTCTTCATCTTGCCACTTCATCTTGCTCACGAAATCACACACCACTCCAATTGGTGTTTCGGGTACAATTTGAAAATTAAAAATAGTTTAATCCAAAATTTCGGGAAAGGTCCATCTTCATGAGTCATACAATATTCCCTAAGTTTTCATGTCCAATAGCTGCAGGACTGTCAAGTATGTCATTTGACTCATGACTTGTGGAAATTCTGTTGGACAGGAATATCTTAGCAGTGCAGCAGATGATGCAATACCTCTTCTCGTTGCTTTCCACGCGTCTTGGTCTCCTCCAAGTCAAGCGCTTGTCAAGCTTTTCCAGGAGATGGCTTCTTCAGGGTAAGGCTGGCGATTGTCTGGGGGGTTCTCTTCTGATAGCTTTTTTGCTTTGATCAAATTTGCTTGATCTCTCCCGGAAGCTTCAATGTGAAGTTGTTCGAATTTACCATGAACCCCAGGAATTCTGTTTCCTGACATGGGGGTATTTGGGATTTGGAGTAGTTTACTATGAAACACTGATTCTCCTCCTTTTAAGGTGGCGCTCAGGGCCTGCTGTAGACATTCAACACAGCCCGGTCAGAGTGTACCTGGCGCATGCAGGCCAGCCGGGTCAAGCAGGGTCAGATCATCCGGCAGAAAAACAACCAAAAAGCCTGCTCAAAACGCAGGAAAACAGAAAGGCGAATTTATTACCGGAAATCGGAAATTTTAGAGAACAAGGCGAACTATCGAAGTCCGCAAACGTAGAAGGTAAACGACAAAGCGTGAGTTCTTTTTCTCTTCGCTGCGGGCTCCATCGTCCAAATCACCAGTCGGCTGAAAACTTGCAACTGTGTCAAAAGCTATAGCCAAAGTTACGCTTTTGACTGCCTGCCCCGTCGACTTTGAATGTCCTGACTTCCTGCTCGCCGCTGGCCAAATCGCGCTCGAACCAGTTGACCCCAGTTGACCCTAGCCGAGTTTCTGTCGCTTGTAGACTGTAGTGTGTACAGTTGCGCTAGATTTGCAACAGATGGGGTCCGGGAGTCGTAAAATACCGGTATTTTAGGAATCCATTGTCAGTTTGAGACATTTTTCAGCCGGGTCAGACTGGACCCGCTGTTATCTGTTCAGCCAGATCGTGCAGTTCCCCAGCCGGGCGCGTGACCCAGCTGACCCGGCTCTCCAGCAGGCCCTGGCGCTACACCTTTCCGGCACCGTCCCACGCAAGCACACATATCTCAGCAATGGGTAAACAGATTCTTATAAAATTGTCAGCATTTACTCCTTGGATATACCCGTTTCAGAAACAGCAAACATAAAGCCAAAGATGCCATCTATCTACTGTTGGCATACATGTGACGGATCTGTTCGCAAAATCCGCCGAAAGGTTCGGCTGTAACCACACGGTCCACAATATGGAAAGGTTCGCCTGTAACCACAATATAGAAGACCATGCGTCCTATGCAATAGAATGAGTGCCACTGCAGTGTCTCACACACACACATGGCAAGACATTGAACCAAAGAAAGGGAACACCAGCAAAACAAGCCAGCAAGTGCAGGAGTTTGAAAAAAAAGAAAGAACAATAAGCGCAAAAAATAAACAAAAAGGTTTGACCTGTGCTATCATGAGCATATGAAGAGCAGCCCTCTGAAACTTCGGTTCAATGTCTAGCTAATGCTTCACAGATTTCAAAAATGTATACTTTGTAGGGGTCAAACGGGTGTACCGGTTACCCGGGTACCCGCCCGTTAATCTCAGGTACCGTTAGTAAAAGGGTACCCGTTTGTAAAAAAAAAAAAAAAAAGGAGCTTGGATTTCGATGATCCTACTCGTACTAGTACTCTTTTCCTTTCTCCTGTGCATTCCCGCTTTCGCGGCGACTTTGTCAGGCAGGAGCAGGCTGAAAGACAGTCGTTCTCTCCACTCTAGTGCAAGTAAAACTCCTCGTACTGGACGTTTTTGATTGCGATGTGAGAAAATGCAAGACTTGAAACTCGTTCAAGGTGGCAGCTGCTGAGTTACTAGAAACTTAGTAGAAAGTTATGATGGTTCTCCGACATCATTATGTATGGCAGCTGAGTTACTAGAAAGTTACGATGGTTCTCCGACATCGAACCTGCCACAGTACTTGAAGATGAACTAGTGTCACCAGGCTGAGTGACCAGTCGGAGTGTCACACACGGTGATGTCCATAGGTGGTAGCTATGATACTCATGGTTGTAGTTTGTTCCTTCATTTTCAATCGACGAGCTTGGTGGGAAAAGTAGTTCGAAATATTGCATACAAGATTACCGGGATTTGTGAAGATTCGTTTCACGAGTTCAACGAGCTAGCACTAGCAGCTAGCTGGCCAGCAGCAAATCAGCTGTGTCAGGCACCCCAGCTAGCTATGGGTGCGAACATCTTCTGAATACGAAGAGTACCAGTTCTCTGCGAACATAGCAAAATAGGATCGCGCGAGATCACGGAAGTTTTGCTAAACTACTCTGTCCTTGCATGGCTTGAATCACATCTATCTGCAGTTGATTTGCGTACATGTATCAAAATACATGTAGCACTAGGACCATGTACGATTGTATTGTAACTGCCTGTGAAGTTGTGTACATGGGCAAATGTACGGATGACATTCATTTGGAACTTCATTGCCATAATATAATTATGAGACACGAATCATAATGTGGTATCAAAATACAACCTGAGAATATACAAATTTAAATCATGATTAATTTTATGTGAGAAATGCGCAAAAAATTAATATGGCTGCTAAAGAGTACCCGTTAACCCGCCCGTTAAAAAAATTACCCGTTCGTTAGTTAAAGGTACACCCGTTTGACCCCTAATACTTTGTTAGGTCTGCAGGCCACGGTTATCTCAGTAGCTTGGTTAAGAGTTGCGGGAATAGCCAAAAAAGGGGAAAAATTGCAGTATAATACATGTATTTACAATCTGTGTCCACCGCGCCAGCTACTTTTTAGAAGGCCCCAGTCTCATAAGTGAGACTTTCGTCATCAACAGTCTGCTCCTCCACACCCTTCCTCACTCTCCTTCGCCTCTTCCTTGCACTCTTCACTTCATCTGAGGATTTCCTGGCTGCATTCTTGGCTTGCTCACGGTCCAACTTCTCAAGCGCTGTCCGCGTGTAGTGACCAGCTGTCAGGCCCATCGCTTCAAGAATCTCCTCCAAGGCCTTGTTCTTCTCGTTGAAGCAAGCAGTGGCTATGGCAACAGCTGTCTGGACAGTCCTTGACGAGCAAAAGCCAGTCTTTGGACAAATCTGCCAAATGAGGCCATTGATGCACTCGTTCAGATTCTGAGTAGCGCCACGCAAGCATTTCTCGAGAAGTTGCCTCTCAGTCAGCCGCAAGTACACAAGCTTGATGACTTTGAAGACTGCATCCGGCAGGCTCTTCTTGTGTTGGTATTCAGGGCCACCAGCTTGATGACTCTGCCACTTGCACCAACTATCTGGTCCAGGGGGGCAGAACTGATGCTGCGGCTTGTCATCTGTTGAAACACAATACATGACCGATGCCCATATCGCGCGTGCCATGCCTTGCAGGTCATTGCCATGTCCACGTACTGCCATTCCGCAGGGCCGGCGGAGCCGCTCCAGTCGGTCCGGCCATGGCCGGACCAACTTTTCGGCCACCGACGATTTTTTTTACGACGCAGTAACGTTATGACTGTTGTGATCATCGATTGCATGTACGCGTACTTGCGATCTCGCTCTGATCTTGCCGTGTACATGGTGTACGTGTACGCTTGAGGGCTAGCTATTAGCATAGCTAGCTGTGGCATGTGGCCTAGCGCCTGTATGTGGGCGGCGCCTGTAGTGTAGCTGTGGCGCGACCTGAAAGTAAAAGCACGTGCCATGATAATGATGGATTCTACATTGTAATTAATTTTGTAGTCTTGAGGGTTTTTCGTCGAGTGCTTCAGATTCTTTTACTGAACGAAGTAGTTTTTCAAATTTTTCTCGCTGTTTGGTCAGCTTAGCTGCAGTGCATGCTTAGCAGCTATGGCTTCTTCCAGCGAAATATTTGTGCCAGAAGTGCCAGTCCACCCAACCACTTCCTTCGCGTTTCCTCGGCGGGAATTTGGGAAGAAGACAGTGGTGAAGCGCTCTTGTCAGGCGTCATAATTATTTCAAGACATGGTCTTGGTTGACCTACGATCAAAGCAAAGAGACGTTGTGTTGTGTCACACGTGCGCAAGTGCTGTGCTGGCGAAAAAACTTGGCCGGACCAATCAACAATTGCTTCCGCCGGGCCTGTTTCGTAGTAGGCCTGCAGTCGGTCCATTTGGTCATCAGTCAGGCGACCCTTGCCACCAATGCCCAAGCCATCGTCCAGCTTCTTGCCCCAGAGTTCCTTCTTCAGCTTGCGGAGATTGCTACCAACATGCTTTGGGACATGTCCAACGCATTCTTCTTTCTTGATGGGCACATCCGGGCCATATGGAGTAGCATCACACACACGTTTGAAACTCTTTGAATCTCCATCTCCAATGAAGGTGGTGTAGCTAAGCTGCCTACTTTCTACAGATCTACTCCAAATGAGCTCAGCCGCCTGGCTCTCCATAGCTGGTGCAGAACAGGAGGTATTAGCGGCACAGTCGTGAGAGGATATCTTGGCAGTATACTGCTCCTTGCTGATCTCATGTTTGCTCAGCTTCCTCTGGAATGTTGTGCACTGCTGGCAGTGCCGGGAGAGGACTTCGCAGTCGATGACTTTGCCAGTATCCCACGAGATGGCAAGAAACGCTCCATGTAGTGAGGTAAAGCCGCGTCGCATCCACGTTCCGTCGTAAGTGACGGCAATATCAGAGGAAGACGCCAACTCCTTGGCATTCGCAGCTGCACGGCTCATGCTGCTGGTGGCAACAACTCTACTGGCCTTTGCTAGTACCTTCGTGTGCTTCTGGCATGCAGAGACATTCATGGGTGCAGGCGTATTCATGACAGTGCAGAATTTCACAAGGGATTGATGCCCACGTCCTATCCATGTCATTGCAGTAGCTGACTTTCTGTTCACATCCCAGCAGTGCCCAGTCTTCTTGGACATAGCTTCACGGCTTTCAGCCTCGCAGCTGTCACAGGCCAGCGATATAGTTGAAGCCAATCCTTCACGACGTACTTCACATAGTGTAAAGGTGCCATGGCACGCTGAGCAACAGGCACTATCAGCAAGTAAATTTTGTAAACATTCTAAATCAATATTTCGGCTCCCGGACATCAGGTAATCATCACCGTCGCGCTCATCTCCAGAGCTGTCACTGTCGCTGTCACTAGATGTCTCACTCTCACTAGAATTAGACTGTTGGACTTCGGCATCATCCCTATCTTCTGGCAACACAGAAGAGTCCTCTGCCACGACAATTTTCGTAATTTCACTCGACAATTTAGCACATTGGTTTCCATGGAATTTGCGCTTCTTTGGACGACCAGGACGGCCTACGTACTGCCTCTTGCCCATAGTGATCAAGGAAGGTTCCACGAAACAGATGAAAGCCAACAAAGCAGCTAAACTGATAATGAGCTACAGTTTGGAGATCTAGAGATTGCTGGTATGAAAATATTTACCAAAAATTTGAAGTACGACATGCGCACTGGCACTGCTGATGCCGATGGTGATGTCAGCTCTGTGTGGGGCGCAGCAAGGTAAAACCAGGGAGATTTTCAGCCTTTCCGCGAAGTTTCATCGCTAAAATGCCAGCGAAATCAAAGTTACACGCGAAACATGTGTAATGTAAATTCTAATGCGTTAAAATTTGAATTTTTGAATTTACAATTACTATTTTTGACAATAGCGGCCTTTGAAAGTCCATATCTCAAAAACTACTGAAGCAATTCACTTCAAATTTTCGGGATGTGCGGTTGGGACCTACCCAGAGGGTCTGGAAGAATGTCGTCGATATGGATTGTCAGCCTCAGACCGAGGCTTGAGAGTGAGCACTAGTGCTTGGGAAGTCTTGGTAAGGACCCAAGCAGCTGATAACAGACCGAAAGGCAGGCATTTGGACTGGTAGGTCTTACCTTCCCAAACAAAGCGACGGAAGTTCTGATGAGAGGGATTGATTGGGATTGTAAGGTAGGCATCTTTCAGATCTACTTTCGTCATGAAGTCGTCCGGTCTGAGCAGGTCTTTCAGCAAATGAATTCCCTCTATTTTGAAGTGTACCGGTTGTACAAACTGATTCAAATGTTTCAAGTTGATGATCGGTCGTATGCCGCCATTCTTTTTCGGTACGATAAAGAGCTGGAATACAAATCCCGTATTCTTCTCTCCCATCATGGGTTGATTCATTTCCGGAATGGCATTCTTTGCCAAAATTTTCTGGACTCCTGCTAATATTACTGGTTTTTCTTCCTCCTGGAAGGGTATCTCTTTGGGAAAGAATTTCTGAAGAGGTTGTTCTACGAAATCTATTTCGTAACCTCAAACACATTTCAGCACCCACTGGTCTGATGTTATCACCTCCCATTTCTTTGCAAACACTGCAACACGACCAGCCACACTGTGGCCAGTGCCACTCTGTGTCAACTCTTCGACTCCCAGTTGTACTAGACACTGTACAACACGAGACATCAAATAGTTTGGGAGAGAATTTATTCCGATCAGGGGAGTTGTTACATGATTCATTGTTTTGACGAGTTCTTGCTGTTGCTGCTGCTGGACTGTCTCGAACGTTTGAAAGGATTCTTGAGGCTGTATGGCTTGAAGCTGTATGTCCCACCTCGGCTCCGACCAGAGAAGCCGCACCCTGGAGCACTTTGGCGTTGGGGTAGGCTTTGCCGAGAAAAAGAATCTCTGCATTCCGACTTGCTCTCAGAGCTGGACGCATGAGAGACACGTTTGAGCTCATCACTCCTCTCCTTGGTTTTCTTAGAGAATCCTTCTCCAAACAGTGCCGGGGCTGTTTTTTTAAAGATGACATCGTCATCTGCCATGTCGGCGAGGCCTTTGTTTATGCAAAGGATGGCCTTCTTCCGGCGCTCTCGGTTGATGTGGGCACTGGCATTGCCAAGAAACCGGAGGGCCTGTTGACAGGCGGCAATGGACGAATCAGTCGTCAGCGTACCTTATACGGCTTCTTCAAGCACATACGTTAGGGGTCCAGTGGCGTCCAAAAAAAAGGGCCAGCTTCTTGGACATCTGCCGATCGCGAGACGTCGTCACCGAATGCAGCCTCCCTTTCACCAACTAACTTGTCCAGGAAAGGCGCTGTGGTCACATCGGATTGCAGATGACCGAAGCGCTTATGGCATTGGCGCCGAACTGTGGTCGAAACAGCAGAGGAACAGGCATGTGATAAAATTCAGAAGTTACGCCTGTGAACTTGAAGCTCTTGCTTTTCCTCTCGTCGATCAGGTCGTCCTCCATATCGACGTTTTCCTCATGTACTACTACCAGGACCCAGTTGCGTACCGAACAACCCTCAGACCTCGACGCCAGGCAACAACATCACCAAGAGGCATAGGAGCCTAACACAGAGAGTCTGTATACTGGGAGATATCAGTGTATCCGAACAAGCAGTATCGCTTCTAGCAAAAGGCCCGAAATTCGCCATCACACCGAAATTCACCAAGAAAGAACTCCACCAGAAGATACAGGCGGAGATCGCTGTACTCGCATACGGCATTTGATGGGAAGCCGCTGGGGAGAGAACGGGAATAGGTATTGGTGGAACCTTCCACCTTATCAAATCAGAATGTCCGTTCAAGATCAGGAGAAAAGCACCACCACGGGACATCGACCCAGCCGAGCGATCCATCAAAGGTTTCATCACGGACATGGAGCGCATTATGAGAGCGGCGGGAAAATGGCAGAATCCTAAAGCCAACATCTCCCACGCAGACCGGCATGTGCTAAAGGAACTACGAGAGCGTGAAGATATCGTGGTCACTCGAAGCGATGAAGGAGGCGAGATGGTGATCATGAAGACGGAAGGCATGCAAGAACTGTGCAGGGAGTACCTCGCCGACTCAACGGACATGGAGCGCATTATGAGAGCGGCGGGAAAATGGCAGAATCCTAAAGCCAACATCTCCCACGCAGACCGGCATGTGCTAAAGGAACTACGAGAGCGTGAAGATATCGTGGTCACTCGAAGCGATGAAGGAGGCGAGATGGTGATCATGAAGACGGAAGGCATGCAAGAACTGTGCAGGGAGCACCTCGCCGACTCAACAACGTATTGTAAACTTTAGAAAGATCCAACACCAACACTGCGCCTCACTACCAACAAAACTCTAGAGGAAATTCTCAGAAGCCGAGATTTCACAAAATTAATATCGTCATCTGACGACTCAATACGCCACCCTGCGCAAGCACCCAATGATTCTACGCACTGCCGAAAACGCACAAGAAATCTCTCAAAATTCGCCCAATCGTCTCGGGATCAGGCGGTATCTTCGGAAGACTCGGTTGGATCCTCCATTTCATCTTCAAACCACTCCTGCTTAATGTGAGCGCCCACATTAGCAGCACCCGGGACCTAATAAGCCAACTTACGAGCAACGAAAACAAGCTGCAGAACAAAATCCCCATCTGATTCGACGTGATCTCGCTGTACACAAACATTGACATCGAAGAAGGAATCAGCACCGTCCTCGAATACACGCATCGCTTCAAAATCAATACCTACTCCCTTGCACCAGTCGACTTCCAAGAGCTACTCGGACTGATTCTGTATAACAACGTGTTCCAACACCCGACCCTTGGAACATTCAAACAGATAAGGGGGTTGGCGATGGGCAGCAGGCTCAGCGGTACAATATCCATCATCGTCATGGACCGCTTTGAACAGCGTCACATCTACAGAGACATCTCGCCGCTGTTGCCAGTGTCCATTTGCTACGTAGACGACTCTGGAGCTGCTGTTGACACTCCAGAGGAAGCACAATCTCTACTGGCCAAACTGAATGGAAAGCACCCGACAATCATCTTTGAACAGGAGTTACCGGACGAAGATGGTTTCTTACCAATCCTCGACATCAGACTGAACATTCTTCCCGACGGTAAAGTCCCGCACAAGCTCTACGTAACAGCAGCAAACAAAGGAATAACACTGCACGCAGATTCCCACTATCCAACGGCGGTTAAGATGGCGGTCATTAACAATGAATATAAACGAGCACGAGGCAACAGCACACCTGAGTTTGCGGAGGAAGCCAGAAGCCTCATCTCGGACAAGCTTGCAGGCAACGGCTATTCAGCGGAACACATTGCCAAGGCACGAGCCCGCAGAAGAAGCACAAGGGAAAACAACTGGTATTTAGAATACAATACATCTCTGACAAAGTTAACGGCCAAGTACGATGGGCACATAAGAAGAACGGCATAACAGCACGCCTCGTTAACCCTTGACCGCCAACCATCCAAGAACTAACAAAGAAAAAAGGAGAACCAGAGAAATGCAGAATGTGTGAGTGCCCCATGACCAAGAAGAAATGCACTTGCAATTTTGGGGTCAATGAAGCTACGTACAACCTCTGTCGTGATAAAGTTAGATACGTCGGCTCGACTGGGAGACAAATGCACACCCGGGCTCAAGAACATACGTATGCTGCCAAGTCTAAAGACAAGAAATCTGCATTCGGTGTGCACTATGCTAAAGAACCCCCGAACACCACTCCAAAGATTGAGTACGAAATTGTCCAGCTCACAGAGAGGGATGACCTGAGGCTCTAGATCTGCGAAGCATACGGAATTCGCGACAGGAAGCCAGCAATCAACCGAAGAAAGGAAGACATGGGAACTGGATTCTTGGCATAGCTGGCCTACCACCATCCCCTATCTGCTAACCTGATCCACATTCATCACCATAGAACACCCGGCACCCAATGCTCTCTCCTCCTCCTCCTCCCCCCCCCCCCCCCCCCCCCCCAACTCAACTCAACACTGCCACAATGCTTGCACACACACACACACACACACACACAACACCTGTCCTGTCCTATATTGCCGTTGTTGGTTTCATGTCCTCTCCTGGCTGGGCCAACAGACATGGAGGTTGCGTGTAGAATTGTCTTAGTATTTCCTTGACTTGTATTAGAGGCATTGACTGTGCAGCTGTGTAGTTTGAGCCCTCATGTTGATTCTCAGCACCAATCACATGCACTACAGTGGGCCTTCAAGCAAGGCAGAAAGAGCATTGTCTATAATTGTAGGAGATAATGTCCTAAGAGCGATGCTTTGAGTATGAAATGGCAGATAGGGGCACTGTGTACCATCACTCGTATGTTCGCTGTGTTGCTACTGTTGTATTGTGTGCTCAACAGCTTGTATTCGTCATGTGTCAAATTTGCTACCGTTGAAGTCAGCCATGATCTGGTGACAGCAAGAAGGTCAGTCCTCTTTCTGGTCCTCTTTGTATCTGTCTGTTGTGCATTGGTGTGTGTGTGTGTCTGTCTGTCTGTCTGTCTGTCTGTCTGTCTGTCTGTCTGTCTGTCTGTCTGTCTGTCTGTCTGTCTATCTTTTTGTGCACGTGTGTGTCTGTGTGGGTCTGTGTATGTGTGTCTGTCGAGGTGTGGAGTTGTGTGCATGCTGTGTGTACTTGATGTATGCACTGTCTTGCCCACGACAAGATTGATAGAGCTACAGTTCATTCATAAAAAAAGATGATATCCTAGCTTTTTGCCATACATGGGTCAAGTTTTGAGTTTTTCACAATTTTTTTGGCAATCCCCCTTGGAATGCTCCTCCTATTATGTTTCTGAAGTCTCTATTTCTCCAAAATTCAAGCCAAAACAAGAATAGGATTTCGGCCGGGTTTTGCCCCCAAAGTACTGAATTGGGGAAAAACCATGAAAATCCAGGCCGTTCACTCCACTTGCATAACAGTACATTGTGCGGTTTGAACTCCAGTTGAGGTACCTTTTTTGGACACTTCTTCAAGTTTCAAATCTCGTGGCACTGCACCGTGTACGACAGAATCACGAAAAATCACCAAATACGGGAGCTTGCCAGAGCCAGCGCTCATCTGTTTCTGAATGGACTGTGGATAAGACTACGGCGACTGCTGCTCATGTAAGGAATGCTGCAGTTTACCAGCCGAGGCAGTGCCTGTGTATACTGCTGTTGCCGAATAGCACGGTTCACACAAGTCAATGCAGTAGGCACAAAGCAATTGTACAACCCCAGTCTTCTTAGCTGTTGCTCAGAGTTCGTGTCTGATGCTCTGATGAACGTTTGTTTTTTAGCGCGAAACTCAGAGTAACAGCTAAGTGAGACTTAGTTGTACCATTGCTGTGTGCCTACTGTAGTGTGTGCCATGTCCACCGTGCATTGAGCACTCCATGTAGCCTGAGATACACGGACACATATCGTATGTAGGTCTACACCACAGTACACCCGACAAGACAAGTGAGCACTACACAGCCGTTCAAGGAAAACGTGTGCTTCTACGGCTTAGGTAGCAGTGCATGGGCTGGTGGGCTCGTGGGAGAGGTGTGTGTGTGTGGGGGGGGGGGGGGGATACTATTGGTCCTTTCCCTAAGTTCTCATGCAGCATAATACACACAGTAGTGACAGTAGGTACAACTACGAACTATCAGCGGCTATATCTACATTGTAATGTTGTATCTGTGAATGCAAGGACTTCACTCGCACATCCGTCTCGCTGCCGTAGTGTTCATGGAAAACCCAGAAGAGAGGTGGACAGTGCTCTACAGTTCTAGAATTATCTACTCGAAGTACATATTACGCTCTGCCTGCGCGGTGTTGAGCACTGTCAGCACACTGGGTGGATCCTCTGGTAGAGTGATCTACACACAGCACTGTCAGCACACTGGGTGGATCCTCTGGTAGAGTGATCTACATGACTGGACTTAGATTGATGACTGGCACAGCACCGTGTGAAGACACTGTTAACATAGTGCAGTATGAACATGGTGCAGTGAACAGTGAACAGCTCATTTTCCACACCGGCAACTGTTTGGAAACTCCGGGGGAAGAGTGTACAGGTAAAACACACCAGTTGGCAGTTGCTCCAGGTCGGTAATCAAACACTCAGTTACAGGACTGTAGCTAGCTGTCTCCTTGCCTGGGTCGATGGCATGAAGGCCTGATTGTACAGGCTTCAAACCTCCAATCTTGTGCTTAGAACCCTCGGGGCGTACCACTCTACCCCAAGCCAAGGTCTTCTTCCACTTGGTACAGTGCAGTGAAACAGCAGTACTGGTATAGAGCACCTGGTCCTGGATATAACATAGCAGATAGTAGTGCTAGTAAAGTAAAACCTGTGTTTGCCGAACCCTGTACCGAGCGGAATCCTGTCTTGACCGGACAAATCTGCATGCACCAATGTGCTGTGGACTGAACGTGCATCATCTGGATCAAGCAGAGTCCTGTCATATCAGGAAGTTTCTGCTGCACCAAGGGCAAGGGCGTCCGGTTAGGGCAGGATTTACTCAAGTACACTGTATTACCTTTCTCTTTACATTGGATAAAAGTACTTTTCTTTACATTGGATAAAAGTACTTTTCTTTACATTGGATAAACGTACTTTTCTTTACATTGGATAAAAGTACTTTTCTTTACATTGGATAAACGTACTTGTTCTCGTAGGACTCTAGTCGTTTGACCTTGGATTATACACTGATATCTCGGCTATAAAGTGCAGAATTTCCATGTCCCCTTGATGTATGCCGCCATACTGAAGTTACACGCTATCATGTTGAATTGAACGCAGTCCCCACGGAAATCAGTGTTTTTTCTCTTCCCGGGTGCGTACGGCTCCCTGTTTCTTCTTATCCCGCAATCCCGTTACTGTAGCGAATGTGAAAATCATCCGACTACCTCCACAGCACCACATTGCGTTTGGCCGACTCACACACTTTACGTGTAAACATCACAGATGTGGCAGTTGACGAAGAGCACGGATTGGTGTGGTGGATGAAGCTGAACAAACGTATAATTTAAATGATATCAGTCTGCAAAATGCCAGAGCTCTACCATGCTCAGCGGCAATTGAAATGGCTGCCGCTTGTTGCTGCTTACCTTCCACAAGTAGAGCATTTAACCGGGGGAATAATTGCGTTAAATCCCAAGAAAGGAAGTTTGTCCGGTTGAAAATTGCGTTCATGTATCATAAACGTACTGAAAAGTTGGACCAATCAGTTTCTCAAATACTAAATTGCACCTGGTATAGTGTAACTACTGGCTAAGTGACACCGTGAAGGTTTGTAAAAGTTTAACGACCTATTTTCCTGCCCTGAAGGAGATCAATTGACAAGAAACATGGGATGCTGTGACATTGATGTCTCTGGTAGCATACATGTACACAGCAAGAACACTCGTAAGACTAGCCTCGGCTTTCGAATAAACTTATGTTTGTTATTCCAGTAAAAAATGCAGGCAGGCATAGTAGGATGGTCTAAGACCATGATCGAGAAACAGAGGGTACCAGGTTCAAGTCCTGCTTGGAAGCGGAAGGATTTTTTCCAGCCGTGCTGCGACCCACAGTTAATTGGGAACTCGTGGCCTGGCACGAGGGAAACATGGATGCAGTGAATGGGATTTCGGTCTTTGACCATTTTGTGGTGGGTCTGATCTACTCACCTCCCACCGCTTAGGAGCTGCATCTGCGCCTTGATCCAAGAGGGTGGTGGCGTTCCTGCGGATGCGGAAAACTGGGCCTTTGGCCGAGTCTCACGCGAACCGTGAATTTTTTTTTTTTTTTTTTTTTGTTATTCCAGTAGGTGAACTATCGTGTATCGAGTACTGATGAGAACTGAAGAATGTCCACGGCAGCAATCCAATCCCATCACGGCATCAGTCCATTTGGTGTTGATCCCGAAGGGTTTGACGGTAGTTATCTTCATTGGGGAATTGAGTACAGGTCCAAACAGCAGTACAGGTCCAAACAGCAGTACAGGTCCAAACAGCAGTACTTAGTTTTGTGTTATACATTGTATACCAAATCAACCTAAAAAAAGTTCCAATCACGTGGATGTGTGTGATATTCTCAGACAATGCATGAGCACATCGCAATACAAATGCGCCTGGGGGGGGGGGGATTGGATGACACATTGAATTTAGCGACTTCTTTGCCTCTCTAGATTTGTATAGATGGGTGGGTAGGTGTTAGGTCCCGTTTTCCTGCACATATACATGTACATGTACATGTACATGTATATGTATATGTATATGTATAATGTACTTTCGAGGTACAGTGTCCGGATTTCACTGGCCTGCTGTACACGAATGCATGCGTGGATAAGCCAGTACTCAGTAGACCTCTTTGGATCAACGTCTTCTTGTTACGGGCTGTCTAGTGTTGCCCTCTCCACATACAGCTGTAATGTCTAGTGTTGCCCTCTCCACATACAGCTGTAGTGTGTAGTATGTACAGTCCGTGAACACCTAACATCTACACTACAGGCCAGCTGAGAAGAACATAACAAGACACAAGAGTGGGATGGGGGGGGGGGGGGGGGGGGGGCACGCTGATCCTTGTACAAGTCATGTACAATGCTACTGTTACTGATGTACTACAGAGTCAGTGTGTACGTGCATCAATCAACTAAGTTCCTTAGTGGGAGAGCTCTGTGACTGTGTTGGGATTGTAAGGTGTGCGCCCAAAGTCCACTGGCCATCTGACTTCAAGTCCCATCTATCCAAACACCTCACAGGAGATACAAGTACAACAGGTGTTGTTCCTATAGTACAGCTGGCCAAGGTGGAAGTGGCACGGACCTTAGGTTTTACCAAGAGTACATACATGTATTAAAACCTTTTTTTGGTTTATGTGCTCTTGGTTTTACCTCATGGAGACTGACTATACTATAGTGTGGCAGTCAGATCAGCAGGACTGCATACTCACGTGGGGTGTGTGTGTGTGTGTGTGTGTGTGTGTGTGTGTGTGTGTGTGTGTGTGTGTGTGTGTGTGTGTGTGTAAACTAGGGGTGAAACGGTTCGGGTAAGGAACCGGTTTTGGAACCGCCAGCTGAAAAGAATCGGGTACCCATTCCGTCAAATTTCGAACCAAAACTCGAAAAATCTCGTTTTTGTACAAATACATGTACACGTCAAGTCTACTCAAGATTTTAAATGTCTTACCTTGCGATCCTCACTCTTCCAAAGAGTTCTCTGGTCATTATCTTCTTCGCACTTGGACTCTCCGATGTCTCATTCTTGCTCGTAAAAATGTTTTTTTCTAAAAAATAATTGTCGCGAACGCATTTTGTCGGTCTGGAGAAAAGAGTGCATGGAACCGATACCCGAACCGTGGGAAACAATGCTGGCATTCGGGTACCCGAACATGAAAAACCTGGAACCGTTTCACCCCTAGCACTGTAAACAGTAACAGCGGCACAGTGACACGCACAGACAGCAGCTGGACCAAACCACTCAATCAAAGCCAAAATTCTTATGCCAAGCTAGCTCTCTCACACTCATTTACTGCATTAATTTAATCATCAAGCATGTATGCAATCCTCAGTTTCTGATGTGTGTAATCGCATCGCCACATCATTGAAGGCCACTCTTGTTTAGTTGTTTGTTTGTAGTGCTTCTGTGCAGCAGAGTGTCAGAGCCTAATGATGGTGAGATGAGTATTTAGCACTTTCTCTTGGAAGTGGTACTCAAGTCTTCATTGACTGGCTGTACTCAAGTCTTCATTGACTGGCTGTACTCAAGTCTTCATTGACTGGCTGTACTCAAGTCTTCATTGACTGGCTGTACTCGAGTCTTTCTTCATTGACTGGCTGCATACAATTCGTCCCACAATAATAGTACTACATTTGTACTTCAAGTACATGTTGTAGTGCACTTGGGGCGGTGGAGCAGTGGGACATGGGGCATCCTGACACTGGATCCCGGAACGTCTTTATCCCTGTGCTTACCGGTCACTACAAGTACTTGAGAGAAGTTAGTCGTGGCTTCAGCTATTTTCTAACACACTGCCAACGCACTGCAAGGTGGCATGGCATTCCTGGTTTGGGCTGCCAGCCACACTTCACACTCAATTTGTCATGGTTGGTTTACAAGGTGGTGATTGTTTGAGCATTGCCCTGCCCATCCCATAGCCTGCATAGGTTGGCGGTTGGTTGGTGTTGCAGCTACTTTTTGCCAGATTGGCGTGGATGTGGATGTGGTATGGCGCTAGTGTTCCGTCATTGCTGCTTGTCCTCACCAAGATGATACAACTACTGTATACTGATTAGTGGCCGGGAACGGCATGTATTAATATGTATTAATGGAATCAGTGATAGGCTGTCTTGTGGCGGCGGCCACTGCTGCTACTCCAGCACACCAATGGCTAGTTTGCACACGTATGCACAAGAGCTCTAGAGCGTAGAGGCAGCTGGCTTCCGTACATGTACGCGTATCGTATGTACTTCACAACAAGAAGTAGATTCCTTTGATATGTTGTGTCAGTAGAAGCATTATAACAGTCCAGTAGATAGTGTTGGTATAAGTAGTTAGAGCAGCACCATGATGATTTAGTCTGCCAGCAGAACAAGTAGTTGCTGACCATTAATTATAGTGGCATTACTATGGCATACTAGTTCTGTAGTAAGTGAGCTAATGATCTAGGCTCACGTGTTGACTCAAAGAACGTTATCGTGTTGGGTGAGTGCCGGGTCCGCCGAGTCCTGTGATCGGAAATCACCCATCATCCATTGGCATTTGGTCCCTGACTCCCTGAGCGTTTGGTGTTGGTTTGAGTAGCACCGTGGTCAGGGCCAGGAGTCATGTACATGTACATGCATTGTTACACGTGTAGTTCTGATCAGGAGACAGACAGTGCATCCCTTTCCCATCAGCTCTGCATGAGTCCTTGTTGTTTCGAGGGGGTCACTGTCAGTCAGAAGGCACTTCAAGGCTTTCACTTCAAGTTTCAGTAGACCGGTACGTTGACTCATTTCAAGGCTTGAGTCCTGATGAGCTGAGGATGATGTGGAATGCAACAATCCAACCATTACATAAACCATGTGCAAGCGCTGGTACAACTGCCACATATACATGTGCGCAGATTGAGTACATGTACATGACACGTGTATCTGTAATAGCAACACTACCTTGGAGGTGCCCCTTGGCCTTGTGGGCCTTGACAAATGACAGATCTAATCATTCTCTTTATAAAACTGTCTTGCATTTGAAGCTTTCATGTCATAGCGACCAATCATGCTAGTTTTACTTGTGGTTGAGTGGCAGTGTTTAAGTAGATGTGCTTGTTGCCTGTCCAAAGCACACAGTACAGTACTACTAGTACTCTACTAGTACTAGTCACTACGTTGTAGGCGTGACCCTATGTTTCTCACACAGGTCTCTGCGGCTGAGAATGGCTTGGTGTCTAGTCACTTATTTTGCCGGTCGATTTGCCGAGTGTACATGTACATGACTTTCAGTTTGTAATGTGTGAGCTGTTGAGTGTTGTTACCTGGTTACCCACAACTGTCATGGTGCATCCTGGAGTCTTGCAGGCAAGCGCGCGTGCACACACACCACACACACACACACACACACACACACCATACAATGTATAATACAAACACACACACGCACACACACACACGCACAATACTAGTATGTAATGTGTAGACTGTAGAAGCGTTGGCACGGGGCTGTTTTATGATTACCGCGCTCCGCTTTCTGTATCTTTGTGTTTGAGCGCCTGGCTTGATATTGCTTAAGGCTTCCTGCTTCGTGATGGTCTTCTTCCTGCCGCCGCTGCTGCTGTTACTACTGCTCCTCCTGTTATGTAGTGAATTGTACAGTTCGAGATATCACTGGACTACATACAATGTCATGTCGGTGTCCCTTGTACTGAAGCACTATCCGCAGTGGGAACACGAATACATGTACATAGCAAGAAAGATGGTGGACTGAGCAGTTGCATGCCATCCTCATTGTTCACCTAGTTCAAACTGTTTATGTATGGACAATCAGTGGCTGTACAGTAGTTGTTGTTCAGCCATGATTGATGATGTACCTTGTCAGTTGTGTACACACTTGCCACAACAGGCCAGAAGAACTATGCACAGCACCGCCCAGTGCTGGAAGTCACTCGTCTACCCTGAGGATATAGTGCAGGTTTTCAAGTATACTACAAGGCATTTTCTCTTGTTCCGCAGAACTTACGTCCATATTGAAGGTCTGCACGTCGTGCATCGAGCACTCTGACCAGTAGTCAATGTGCTTCTATGTACAGTACACATGGTACCGTTGCGTTGGCGCTGTACCTGCAAACGTACAATGCACCTACAACAAGTTTTAGTTGAAAAGAGATTTCAAAACCAAGTCACTAATTGTCTAACCATTAAATTGATATTTCTCTGAGTCTCCATGATGATGTGAGTGGTTTTACACCAGCTACTCCTTGCCCAGCATGCCAAGACCAACTGAGTTAGCGGCCCAAAGCTACTCTAAAAGGCTATCACTGAATCTGATACTAGTAGACTCGATCTCCATATTGATGAGTTTCCGTCCGGGCCCTCCGTGGTTCGTGGAGTTTGCACGAGAGAGCGATGTCGAACCTAGCCACCTGCCTGTTCAGTCTTCTTGTGACAGTATGACGAGCCAGACTAGTCTGCCCCGAGGAACTAGCTTATACTTGACAACATGTCTTACTCAAAGCAAGCCTTGAAACATATGTGGCTACATCACCTTATGTCTGAACAAGAAGAAGGACAAAACGTTACGGGGAAGAAGGCCTTACTGCCATACATGGACATGTAGGTGATGACAACAGCCTGAACGAAGCCGAGACGTTGTGCAGACTGGGACAGGGAGCAACGGGCTCACCACAGTGCGCCAATCATTACGGGCCGGGCCAGTGCTGGCCATGCGGTCGACTTGTGCGTCCCAGGAAACTCTGCTTGCTGTCAAGTACACCGCCGATGCACATGTACATGTACATGTATGACGTGGTCAGTGGTAGTGCTAGTAGTTGCGGTTGGAACGGCTACTCTACGACACTGGACAGTTACGAGAGGGTTGTCCACCTGTAGATGAGGAAGGAAGGTCGGGGCTCGGCTTTTGGTAGGATCGAGGGACAAGGCCCCTCGCCTGTAGCCAAACGGCTAGGTTGAAGCCAAGGTGACTGCCATACTCGGCTTCCCTGCCCCTCATTGGACCTTTCACTACTCTACCTCCCATTCTGCCAACACCTTTCACCGGCGCGGCTCCTACTCTCCATGCATACACGCCTATAATTGTTGCACGTTGACATATTTTTCCCAT